GAGGGTCGATGTAATTGAGCTCGACTAACGGGGGAGAAAGGTTGGGGCGTGCTATATCCAAAACGTACGAAATATAATAAATATCGTAAAGGCAGATGTAGTAGGGGTTGCAAACCGGATGGTACACAACTTGGTTTTAGAAGGTATGGAACTCAAAGTTGTAGAGCAGATCATCTTTCATATCGAACCATTGAAGCAACACATAAGGCTATAATCAGACACTTACATCGTGCTATGAGCGGACAATCCCGAAGAAATGGTAAGATATGGGTAAGAGTTCTCGCGGATATCCCTATTACCGAAAAACCTACAGAAGTCAGAATAAGGACATCAACATAGTTTATCATTCTTATTTATGTTGAACTTATAATTATTTAGGAAATAAATTAAATTATAATGAAACTATAAATAATAATAAAATGAAAATATTTCTTAATTAAGTAAATAATTTAACTTCATTTAAACAAAGCTAATAACAAGTCACCACTATTTTAAAAAAATAAATGTGAGCCAGTTGCAATATCTCTCATTATAACTGAAAAAAAAAATAAAAAAAATCTTAGTAACTTAAATTTATATCTAAGTAACTAAAATTTACATTAACAATTTCTAAAAGCTTCCATTTACATCTAATTAGCTAAAATTATATATGTTTAAAATTTTAGAAAAATAATTGGTAAAATTAGTTGTTAAATATTATACTAGAATTAGTTGGAATGACATTTATGTACTTAAATATTTTTCATATGTTACATTAATTATAATTTAGAAAAGCTAAATATTATTTATATATTTAAAATATGAAAAATGTGATCGATATTTTAATGCTATAGGTTTGAATAAAAAAGTATGAGCAATGCACAATTTTAATCACATGTTTTATTAAAAATGATTTTTTTTTTCCTGAAATTGTGAGAGCATTAAGGTATGTCTCCATCGTGTGTAGAATATAATGAACATAATAATAAATACAGGTAAGTAAGACTTTTTAATTTTTATCTTGACCACTAAAATAAAAAACGTTGGTAAAAGCAACGTCTTTAACTTTAGCGGATTGACAAAAAAAAACTAGTTGTAAAAGTTGTTTACCAAACAGTTTTTTCAGTTGATTGTAAATAGTCAAACAAAGCTGAAAAAACTCTTTTAAGGCCAGAAAGCCATTAAACAGACTCAGCCTAGTAATATATAGTAAGTTAAGAGCAGTATATTTTTGTAAATTAATAAGTTAGTTTTTACAAATCATATATTTGAAAAAGAGCAACACTATTTGTTATCAAAACATTCAATACAACTGGTCAAAAGAATAGAATCAATTCAGAAATTCAATGAAGCTAGTAAATGACTTTCTTATGGAGTCATCCATAACTTTGATATGTGTTTAAAGTGTAATTATTATAAACACATACATATATATCACTATAAGAAAATGATGAAATTCCAACGGAATTATATTTCAATAGAATTCCAACAGCAATTCAGATATTTTATGGGTTCCAATGGAAATTCCAACAAAAATAATCCGTTGTAATGAGTTTTCCATTGGAATTTCTGTTGGATTTTTACGATTCCAACGGTAGATTTTCCAACAGGGGTGGAAATAAAAATTTTAACGGAAATTCCTACGGTGAAAAGCCGTTGGAAATATAGCCGTTGAAATAATCAAATTCCATCTAAAAATTTCAATAAAAAACGCATTTTAACGGAATATTTTCGTTGGAATCATTCCAACGGAAGCTATACCATTGTAATATCCGTTAGAATTTTTATTGGAATATATTACCAGAGGATTTTCCGTTGGAATATAACAATTTTTTTGTAGTATATATATATATATATAATATTTTTGAATAATTATGAATTATAACAAAATCGATAATTAATTATCAGCTAAATCTAACCCGTAAATTGTCATATCTAGCCGAAGAAACAAAAGGCTAGTAATAATTATTAAAAATAAAAGTTGAAAAATTAGTTATTATATAGTACGTTGTAGATATCGATGGAAGTTCAATGTATGGTAAAGAACGTAAATGATAATGGGAGACGCTAACAGCCATAACAAATTCTTGATTTGCTCACTGCTCACCTCACATATTGATTGCTGCTTTGGATGGTCAAACAAATTAAATATTTCTTTGTTTTTTTCTTTCTTTTTAGTGCGGTCACCGATTAGAAAATGTACAGTGTTTGTCCATATGGGATATTTTCCAGTTTTCAGACAGAATTCATCAGTGTACCTTGAATTGCGCGACCTATTAATCGCAAATGTTTGATTTTTTATGTTAGAGTTAGATTGTGATTTGAGTATTTTATTAAAATAATATTTAAAATATAATAATTAAAATTAATTTGAGTTAAAAGTATGAAAGATGCGATTGAAAATCATATGTACGTGAATCGATGAATAATAAATTAATGTCAATTTGATACATGAGAATGATTGATTAGTATTATGTAATTATATTGATGATATTTAATTGATGGATAATAAATTAAAGTTGATTTGATTATTAAATTATAATGAAGATTATTGATTGAAATTATTAAATTATAATGATAATATTGGGAAGAACTAGTTTAGATTAACTTTGAGTTATGTTTTTAGTTAAAAAATTATTTGGTCAAAAGTGACTAAATTACTTATGACCAATCAGAGCCTATGGGTGCGTTTTGATATGAGACAAAATCGGTTTTAATTCGTTTTGACCAATTGAGCTATTTTGTTTCTAATTTCTAGCTCAAAATTAACTCAACCCAACTCTTCTCATATTATTAATATAATTAAATAAAATCAATCAATCATTCTCACGTATCATACCAACTTTAATTCACTATTCATCCACTCACATAATTTTAATTACATATCACTTAAACTTATCTCTCTCATACTTTTACACCACATCAATTTTAATGGTATGGATTAGAGAAAATAATTAGGACAACTTTACATGTCAGCATTTAGTTCAGTATTTACTTGTGGGATGAGATTGTCTGAAACAGTAGGACCCTCAAATCTGTAAAGGAAATGTTTGGGATAAAAATTTTCTGGGTGGGGGACATGACTATTTAATCCTCCAATATTTGATAAGCAATGGGGCCCGCATCAACATGTGCGCCACATCATTTTAATTTTGTCCCAATCTCTTTATGTAAATGTTAGCCTCATTTACTTTGGTTGATGGGATTAGAGAAAATAATTCAGACAACTTTACACGTCAGCATTTAGTACAGTGTTTACTTTGTGAGATGGGATTGTCTGAAACAGTGGAACACGCAAATCTGTAAAGAAAATGTTGGGATAAAAAAATCTTGGGTGGGGGCCACGGGGTTGCCTTAGCAACAATGGTGTACATATGCCAGGAATCACACCATAGGCAGAGTCGATCGAGTGACTATTTAATCCTCCAATTTTTGATAAGCAATAGTGCCTGCAGTCCACATGTGCGCCACAACAGCTCAATCTTGTCCCAATCTCTTTATGTAAACGTTAGATATTAAGGATAATTTTACATATCATGTCCTGTCAAGTGAAGTAAACGAGGCCTTAAATATTATTTAATTACAAACTCAAAAACACGCACTCAATCAACTTTATTCAAATTAATAATGGCTTGGTGTGTGGTCTCCTTCTATAAGAAATAATATCTAACCTAGGTCAAGGCTACCAACCCTTTTGGTTTACTACTTTTGACTTCACTGCTCTTCGCTTTTTCAAGTTCTGATTTATCCTCTAAGCTACAAGCCACTATTATCTGCAAAACCAACTAACAAAAACTGAATTTTCAGTTCAAAAGTGCTAGTTTATGCCCTATCACCACTAAAAAAAAAATGATATTTTAATGTAAATATTATTTCAATGCAATTTAAATAGATATTCCAATGTTATTTGCTATCGTTGAAATTTTCTAACAAAATTCAAACAAAAATATTCTATTGGAATTATTTTTCTATAGAAATTTCTGTTGGATTTTGTAATATTCATCATCTAGTTTTTCAACTGTTGAAGTATCACTTGAAAAAAAAAAGTTCAACCGAAAGTACATATTTCAACAAACATTCCTACAACAAAAGATTGTTGGAATCATTAAATTCCAACTAAAATTCAAGTGAATTTCAATCTGAAATATTTTATTGCTGATCTCGTTGAAATTTTCTAATAGAAACTATACCATTAGAATATTTATGAAAATTTTTATTTAAACATATTACCGTTAGATTTTTCCATCGAATATGGTAATTTTGTTGCAGTGGATGACTAGTCTATTATTTTATTGCAACATGTATCTTTCTGAGGCCATCATCTTCGGGACGAGCCATGCTTTCCACATGCATTGGTCTCAACCAAAAGATATAAATTCTGAACAAATTTTTCTATCCTTTGCACAACTTCCTATCATAGTATCATATATTCTGCTACATGATTGAGACTTTTCGTTGGATCTAAAAATGCCCACGACACATTTTTTTAATCATATGCTTAGTATCAAGCGAAACTGGAAATATAATACCTGATTAGATCAGCCTGTTATCGGCAAGCCAGAGGTGTTATTTACCTCATTTAGAGTTCCAAAAATGATAAATATTTAGAAGATATATATTTTCCATTTATCAGCAAAAGAAAAATATAGTGACACCGAACAAGAAAGTGGGCAAATTTTATTAAATTCTCCTTAACAAACAAAATGCATTAATTAGGATAGGAACAGTTTGCGGTTGGTAATGGCTTGGTGTGTGATCTCATTCTATAATAAATTAGTCTCCTCAAATTCCTTTCTATGGCCGTAACTTATCATCTAAAACTCTCAATTGCTCCTGCTCATTTCAAAAGCCCCTGACATTATAAAATTCAAATGAAATGAAAAACAGACTGAAACTAAACTTGCTTCTTGCATGAATTTGCCTAATTTTGTTTGTTGCCCTGTAATACATTTGCTGGTCTTCTCCCTTTAAAAATTTGCTCTCTTTTTATATTTTATTTATGTTTTAGCACCTGTATGTAGATGGAGCCTACAGAAAGCAACACTGTTACTGTGATGAATGATCCCATGAAACCCATCTCAGAAAATGACACACTTGGAACTATAGGTCAGTTTATTCATTTTCTCTTTTCTCTGTTTTGATTCACAAGTTCATATGATTTCTTGAAATATGACAAATAGATAGAAAAAAAGGTAGCTGTTTAGAAAGCTAACAAATTTGCACCTTCCTAATGTATATACATGAATTTCAAATTCTTATATACATTAAATTTTACACAAAGTGCAAGATAAATCTTAGTTCTGCTTATTACATGTGCATGCAAAGAGTATTATGATATTAGAAAAACGAATTGCAGATGAAGAAAACGATTGTCCGATCGAGGAAGTCCGTCTGACAGTACCGATAATTGACGATCCTACCCTTCCATGTTTGACCTTTCGAACATGGGTTTTAGGGGTCATTTCATGCGCGGCCCTCTCATTCTTGAACCAGTTTTTCGGCTACCGACAAAATGCACTATCCGTAACATCTGTCTCGGCCCAAATTCTGGTCCTGCCCCTGGGGAAGCTGATGGCAGCTTCCTTGCCGAGAAAGGCAATACGAGTCCCGGGGACAAAATGGTCATTTTCATTAAACCCGGGTCCATTCAACTTGAAGGAGCATTGCCTGATCACCATATTTGCAAATGCAGGCACAACTTCTGTTTATGCGGTGAATATTATTACTATTGTGAAAGCCTTTTATCACCGTCAGCTTAATCCGGTGGCTGCACTCTTGCTGACGCATACTACACAGGTTTGATGCTAATAAATTTGGACTAAATTGCAAAAATTGCCGGCCGAGTTTAGCTTAACGAAGCTGAAAAAAACATGGTGCCTTTCGAAAACTACATATAGCTTCTCGTTGTTTGTCACTGTTTTTGTAATTAGGCAAAATTTTGGGGTGGTTTTTGTAGTTATCCCTTTTTTAGGTAATTACACAACATTGTTCTGTTTTTTTATTGTTTCGAATAACTATAAAAACTACCCTGAAGTCTGGAGTATTGACGAAAGAAATAACCGCAGATAATATTTGAATATTTTAAAATTCATCCTTGAGGTTTAAGTCCGTTCCACATATTTCTATATATGTCAGACTCTTCATTTTCTAGAGCTGTTTGTAAAAAATGGAGTTATTTTGTAATATCCTGGAAAAAGATTGAAGAATGCAATATTAAGATATTTGACGTGCCATCAATTTATACTAGTGAAAAGATACAACCTTAAGGATGTTTTTGTGAAAGTCAACAAGTAGCTCGGTTATTTTCCGAATACACTAAATTCAAGGGGAGCTTTTCCTAATAACTACATTTTTGTCCTTTTGAGACTCATACAACAACTTTTGCTGGGGTGCATGTAGATGTTAGGCTATGGTTGGGCTGGAATCTTCCGGAAGTATCTAGTCGACTCGCCTTACATGTGGTGGCCCGCGAACCTAGTCCAAGTCTCCCTCTTCCGGGCTCTGCACGAGGTCGAAATCCGACCAAAAGGAGGACTCACAAGACTCCAATTTTTCATAATGGTCCTTGCCTCAAGCTTTTCTTACTACATAATCCCGAACTATCTCTTCCCCTCTATCACGGCCCTATCCTTCGTCTGTTGGATTTGGAAAGACTCTGTCACGGCCCAACAGATAGGTTCCGGGCTCCACGGGCTTGGGCTGGGCTCGTTCGCGCTTGACTGGTCAACTGTTGCGGGCTTTCTGGGAAGCCCGCTTGCGACCCCTGGGTTCGCCATCGTCAACATGCTGGTCGGGTTCGTGTTGGTCGTTTATGTTGCGCTCCCTGTTGCATATTGGACTGACTTGTACGGCGCGAGAAAATTTCCCATTATATCCTCGCATGTTTTTGATGCTAATGGGAAAGCATATAATATTTCGGAGATTTTAATCGAGAGTAGCTTCGAGTTTAACCGTGCCGGGTATGATGGTTATAGCAAGGTTAATCTGAGCGTGTTTTTCGTTTTGGCCTATGGCTTGAGCTTCGCGGGCCTTGCAGCTACCGTGTCCCACGTGGCGCTCTTCCATGGAAGGTAATTTTGGTGATTTTCTT